TGGTAACGAAATATATATTGATATTACCGCACTATATCATATGGTATTGTATGGTATTGTGTGATATTACCACACTATACCATATGGTATTGTGTGGTAACGAAATATATATTGATATTACCACACTATATCATATGGTATTGGGTGGTAACGAAATATATATTTATATTACCACACTATACCATATGGTATTGGGTGGTAACGAAATATATATTGATGTGGCAAAAAATTTCATATTATATGATATGCACTTATTTAATACCAGTCAATACCATATGGTTAAGACTGGTTATAACTGGGAAAAAAATTTGTGCCCAAAAAATATCAAAGTGGATATCATTTTGAAGAGCACAATTAATCTAATCTAACTGTGCAAAAAAAATTAAATTCCGACTTAAACGAGTGAGAAATCGTCCGTTAAAGATTAATGGAATGAAAATTAAAGGTTTTTCGAGAAGAGAGAAGGAGACGCTGATGTGGTCCGGTCAAAAGTCTGCGTCATCAATAAATAGGGGTAAGTACAATTTTACCTTACTGCTAGGTAGGGCTGGGCATGCGGGCGGATCATCCGCGGGTTTGGACCGACTCACCCGCATTTGACCCGAATTTCGTTAAATGGGTGGGTTTGTGGGTGGGTGACGGATTGCGCTGGGAGCCATCCGCCGGGTGGTGGATGGGTTGTGGGTGGGTGCGCGGGTGACCCGCTCAACCCAACAACAAAAAAGATCAAAGTCGTTGGCGCTAGAGAGGGGAGAGTGGAGACGTTAGACATAAACTAGGACTGCTCCTGGAGTTTGAACCTCAAAGCCAACCTTCCAAATATCGATCCCCTCTTCTTCCCTTTATTTTTTTCTCTAATTCTTGTGCCTAGATCACCGCTCTTTCCTTTGTAGAATTATTTTCCTTAGTTCCTTGCACCTGATAATCATCTTAATCTGTAGAAAACTCTTTCATAATAAAATTTCTATCCAATTTAAGAACTAATTCGACATTTTTTGCCCTATTTCATCTTCTTGTTTCCCCCGATAACTCTCTTCACCTATTATCATGTCAAGTTGACTCCTTTATATTATATACATTGTGATGTGGGTGAACCCACAAACCCACCCGCATCATCCACCATCCGCCCGACCCAACCCGAGACTAAATGTGGATGGGTGGTGGGTTAAAAATTATCAATCCGTTTAAGCGCGGATGAGTGCATTTTATGGTCAAAATCCACCCAACCCACCCAATGCCCACCCCTACTGCTAGGGGTGGTAAACGGTAATCCGGTAAACGGCGGTATCGGCAACCGAGCGGGAAGTTGGGAGAGTCGGTTTACCGGACACGGTATCGGTAAATACCGACGGTAAATCGGTATTACCGATACCGAATCCCCCTCCCTACTCCCTAGTGCTGCGCTGCGTTTTGTTGCTTTATTATGAAAAATATTACATCATTATTCACAAATATAAAATATTACATACATGAATGTAAGTATAGGCCTCAAAAATATTATAAATAAGAGTAAATAATAAATTATTAATTACAAAAATGATGAAAAAAACTCAAAAAAATCAAAATATTACAACATCACCCCACTTCCAGAAATTCGGTTCGGTAAATATTCGGTAAACCGACCGAAAAAACCGCCCGAAATCTCTTCTCACGGTATTTCGGTAATACCGGTTTGTAACCGTTTACCGGTAATTCGGTAATCGGTAACCAGTTTGGCCAGCTTCGGTATACCGAAACCGGTAAATTCGGTAAACGGTAAATTGTTTACCGACCGAATCCCACCCCTACTTACTGCCCTGTCGCATTTAATTTAAATAAAAAAGGGGACTGACACGTGGGGACAGGAGAAGGGATTACTGATAGGTTACTGACCTGATCTACTCCCGGGCACTAGTAAACACACTTTGAAGAAGAGCAATGCGACCTAATAAAGTGACTTTACTAATCTCTCTGCATTCTTCTTTACTAATCCATCATAACCTTCTCCTAACAACTCGAGCTATTGGAACCAACTAGTATATGACATGGTATTAGAGTTGGTTTGACTAAGTGATCGTGTCTCCACGACCCCCAATATTAACAGTTTATTAAAGCACAAGGTATGGTGTGTTTGTGCAAACTTCACACTCGTGAGTTGGCTTTCATTTGAGGGTGGGGCGTGAAACCGAATCAACCATGCCCTCCTTTGAAAACAAAGAGACAAAGAAAATTGAAAGCTGGTAAGACTTAGAGCCACTTACCTAGTGATGGCAATGGGGCGGGGCGGGGCGGGTACCTCAATTCCCATGCCCCGCCCTGCGCTACTACGGGTCGGGGCGGGTCGACCCACTCTTACATGTTGTTAAAAAAAATACAAGTAAATTTTACTTTTTACAATAAAACGTAGGGAAAAACACTTTAAGAATGAAAAATATTGATAATAGAATGAATAATTGAGCCTAACAAGTTGAAAGATCGACTCTAACTAGTTGAAAAAAGCCAAAATATGAGAAATATGTATAGATATTGTAAGAAATTGAGATAAAATTAATCTAGAACAGGGCGGGACAGGGCGGGTCAGAAATAGATACCCATATCCCGCCTCACGCTACTGCGAGTCAGATAATACCCGCCCCATCACAGATCAGATCAGATAATACCCGTGAAGCGGATTGAAATTGTCATCACCACACTTACCTTATCAATGGTGCAGAATAAAAATCTTCTTGCATCATCCTTTCCCTTTGCCTCATGGTGGCACTTGCCCCTCACTGACACTTACCCTGCCAGAGGGCCAAAAAAAAAAAAGAGAAAAAGGGGGAGGCACTTCTCTGCTTTAAATCGCTAGCAAACAAGTGAGACCATCTATTGAACCAATGGTCTTTCACTTGCTCCATTATAGGCATCTTTTCCATTAGCGAAAACAAAAACAAAAAAACTCCATAAAAAAGATTGTACCTTCCTTCGCCACCTCTCTCTACAGACTACAGTCTACTCCCTCAGCCCTCAGTTCTGCTCCCATATCATCAACACGACAACCCAACCCATGAATCAAGTTCTAGATAGTAACGATGGGAAGGTTTCATTCATCACTTTGGGACATGAGTAACAGAAAGCAATGACATTCCATTACTTCTGCTCCCCTTTCTGGCTTTCACTAATAGCATGCACTTGTCAATGTTTCGAAAATTGTTGCCAGAAGAACGGTTAGTACTCATATTAGGATTTCGATGGCCACGATAATTTGAATTGTTGTGATGGATTTTTGTTATTATTATGAATCTATTAGGTAAAACTTCTATCGTATATTTAGTAATGAATCATCTCATCTCAAATACGAACCACTAGTGAACTTGCACGCTAGTTCCTTTATGGCTTACATCTCGAGTTTGCTAGACCTTGAGTACTTTTTTTTTTTCCAGATCTCGAACCTTGACTAAATTTCACTTGATTTGACTATTGATTTTCCAAATATTCACGAGCTCGGCTAACCTAATTCTAGACTACATTTACCATGAAAGTTTTTAAATATTAATATTATTCAGTAAATTTATCATATGAAAAACACCACGTCAAATTATTAGTTCATCACAACAATCCAACCAAATATAATCATCGTGTATACGTCATATATATAATCAATTCATCGTAATATATTTTGGTCTAACCTGTTTGAGCCGTTGTATACATTTTCAAATATATACAAATAAGATAGTAATTTAATTTTTTTAATAAATGAAATAAAATTTATCTTACATGAATTTATTAGAAACCCACTTCCAGTATAAAAAAAATTATCTGGCTTCATTCCCTTGTCTCTCCTCTCCTTCTCCCTCTCCCTCTTTCTAGTGATTAGATTATTGACTTTCTGAAGATTGTTTTGAAACCCAATTTTGATCGCACTCGGTCCAACCAACCAGTCAGATAGAGGTTCAAATAATAACCTTGCATATAATATAAAAATAATAATCGTAGGCAGTAGTTGGAGGATAAGATCACAAGAGATTTAGATGAATCAAACAAATATATGCATAGAAAGATTAAAGGAGGGGAAAGAATTATTGCAGCAATTAAATATATGTCCCACACAATAGTGACAAAGATTGCTACAACTCACTTCCCTTCCAAAGTAGATATTTGGGCAGCAGCTAGCTTAGCTTAGCTCCACACCATATAATGACACCGGCACCCATTTCCACGTTCATGATGGGGGTGAAGGGCTGAAGGCCAAGGAAGAGAGAAGAATCGCCAAAAACCCAAGCAAAGCAAACAAGCAAACAGCTCAACATTAAAGACAAAACTTGCGCTACCTCTCTCCTTGTTTTCATCTTCAATTTCTATGTTTTTCATTGAATTCGTTTACCATTTTTCATGCACAACCGACTTGTGGAGCTAACAATTCATTGCAAATTCTTCAGGGCATATTTCACATTTGATTATTGGGTACTTCTGGTTTCAATCCCAAACATTTTCCACTAAACAAGAACACGTATTTATATGATTTATTAATACGATGTGTATTAGTCAATCATATGTGTATCAATAAACCCAAAACAATAAATCATATGTGTATTGACCCATAAACCAAGACTTTTGGAACATATAATTCAACTTCAAGTCATAGCATCACATGCCTTCAAATAAATTTATCGTTAATGTATATAGATTCTAATTGAAAACTAATTGAGCAGAATGGAGCAACGAGAAATCAACTTTCAGTATGTATTTGCATGTCTGCTTTTCTAGAGCTCAAGTAAAGACATATTAACTAAGCATAATACGGAGATAGTATGTAGATTTAGAGTTTATAATACTAGAACATATTGGTTAAACCATCTTAGTTTCAACATAGCACACTATAATATTATTATCCAAACATCTGTTTGTTTATTTTTTTTAAAGAGATTTGTCAGAGTGTGTGTGTGTGTGAGAGAGAGAGAGAGAATAGCAGCAAGCAGCATTGCAGCAACAACAACGAAGGTAGAGCTATAGCCAGGCATCAGAAATATATAGCAGCTGGCAGAGAAGAGAGGTAGCAACAGCAGCAAGCTAAGCTATCCAGCAGTGAGCACTCAGATCAAATACAAAAAGAGACAATATATGTATAGCTTTTAATTAAGCTACTATAGCAGCAACCAATAACCCTTATATAAGATTTGCCTTTTTTTCTCTCCTCTCCTAAGTTCCTTCCTTCATTCCTTTCTCTATGTGTCCCACTCAATAGTCACAGACAAACTAAAGCTGTTGATCATCAGCTTTCTTCCTTCCTTCTTGAGTAGTTGAGTTTACCTCTCTCTCTCTCTTTTTTCTTCCACTTTCCCTATTTTGGTCCCCCAGAAGAAGTGAAACATGTTGAGCAATGCAAGAGCAGGAAATAGGTCATCATCTTCTTGTTCTTCTTCTCCATTCACAGCAACACAGTGGCAAGAACTGGAGCACCAAGCTCTCATCTACAAGTACATGGTCTCTGGTGTCCCCATCCCTCCTGAACTCCTTTTCTCTGTCAAGAGAAGCCTCGACTCCTCCTTTTCTTCAAGTAACTCATTCACCCAAGTTCTTCATTTCCCTATGCATATCCTTTTAGCTCTCGCATAGATATAAAAAAAAAGTGGTGGAAGTACAATTTTTTTTCTAGAAAGTTGAGACCTTTTGGATCTTTTTGGCAGTGGGTTGGGATGTTTTCATGTGGGTTTTAGTTTATCATCATTGTTTCGATCCGATTCGAATAGGCCAGCAACAAGAAGTAGCCATCTCTGTAAGAAATCAGAAAAACTTGGTTGCAAAAAAAAAAAGTGACAAATCCGTTGCAAAAAAAAGGTTCTGCAATGACTTTGTTGTGTATTTCCTTGCAATGACTTGGTTGCTCTTTGGGGACCAAGCTATAGAAAGCTCTTCATCTTGTAGTCAGTAAAATGCTATGTAACTATTAGCTTCTCCAAATCGATTAAAGTTTTTTTTTTTTGGTTCTGATAAAGTTGAGACCTTTCTTCTGGTGTGGTGTTATTGTGGCAGTTGGGTGGGGATGTTTTCAGGTGGGTTTTGGTAAAAAGGGAGACCCAGAGCCAGGAAGGTGCAGAAGAACCGATGGCAAGAAATGGAGGTGCTCCAAAGAAGCATACCCTGGCTCCAAATACTGTGACAGACACATGCATAGAGGGAAAAACCGTTCAAGAAAGCCTGTGGAAATCTCTTCTTCTTCATCCTCTCCTTCTCCTTCCACTGCAACAAATGCCTCCAGAACCTCACCTAACTGTAATAACACCACCACCACCACTAGTAATAACAACTATTACCACAATCCTTACCTAACTTCCTACAACAATCCTTCACTGATCAACCCTCTATCCATTTCCTCATCTACATCATCACTTGATTCTGATGTCCACCAGCAGCAAGCCCCTCTTAATGGCCACAACTTTCTCAATAGCACTTTCCTTTATAACACTAGTACTAATACCTCCTCTTGCTCCAATTCCTCTTCTTGTTCCAAGACCACACCTACCCCTACTCCTAATCTGTTTATGGATTCTCTCTCTTCCTCTCACCCTACCTCTGACAAAGATTACAGGTATCTACTCTACTTAAATATCATTAATACTACTTTCTTTGTTAAATCCAAGAACTTGGTGTACTTATTAAATGTTTTTATTGGGTCTTTTCCAACAACTCACAGTACTGAATATTCGACCTGATTATGATAGGTTTTTATGTCATTTGTTAATCGGTTGTTTTGTCTTGATTATGTTGTGATTAACCTATATCTTGTTTTATATGTTTCCCCCACTAAACAAAATATAAAAAAAAAAAGGTACCTCCAAGGAGTGAGAGAGGATCAGCAACTTCAGCACCATCAATATGGGTCATCACCACAGCCAGAGTTTGACAACTTCTACTCATATCCATCATCTAAACAAGATTATCATAACCAGCAGCAGCATTGCTTTGTTTTGGGAGCTGATTTCAAGTCGTCATCATCATCATCATCAATCTCAGCTATTACCAACAGGCCATTAATCAAGGTGGAAGAGGGCAGCAATCACAATGAAGAGATGTCATCATCATCATCCCACAAGCCAATGCACCATTTCTTTGGACTTGGTGGTGGTGGCGGTGCAGATTCTTGGCTGGATCTTGCATCAAGCTCAAGGCCCTCCTAGCTAATGGTATATTAAGTTTCTAATTACAGTTACAGTATTAACTAATCAGACCAATCATTCTTAATTGATAAGAGGATCACACAGTTTAAAACCTTTGTTTTTTTCTTTTTCTTTCTTTCTTCTTTCTGATGGTCTGCAGGGGAGCATTGATGGATCTTTTTAGCTTTATCGGTGGTGCCAAAAGAGTACTTGTTGGTGGTGATAAATATGATGTGGGTCTGAGAACTTGTGGCTGGGGAGCAAAATTTGGGGGTTTTTCTACTGTTGAGCTGCAGTGTTGTTTTGGATTTAATAATGTAGGGTCACAGCAAAAGAAAGAAAGCAGCTTCTTTCTTTTTTTCTGTTTTAGTTTTTACTTTGTGAAAGGAGGGGTAGGGTACTGTTCTGTCTGTTTGTTACCAGCTGGTAAAAGTGAAAGATCCTTTCTTCACAAGTGTACACCATCATTATGTCAAAACTTATATGCAAAGTTTTTTTTTGCTGTCCATGAGTACAAGAAACACAAGTTTGGGGTTTTGCTAGGTTTTGGCAGCTCGGAACAGTCCATATAGTTGAAGTTTTGCACTAACCCACCATGCTCTTGATATCCATGAATAACTTAAGCTATGCTCTGAAAAAAGTCGGAATAAGAAAGCGCTCGGGGTGGGCTTACTGCTTATATATGCTTCCTTCCAGTAGGTATCCGCTTTGCACTTGACTATCCAGCGTGTTTAGTGGACACAATATCTAGTACACCTGAAGTGCATCCTTTCCGGTCCTCTCGTACTAGGAAAATGTCCTTTTAACGCTTTAAGACACACACCGAATATGTATCGAACTGTCTTACAAAGTTTTGAATCGAGCTATATTGGGCGAACAACCCAACCCTTGAAACACGATATAAAACTGATAATTTAAACCATTTTACTCGTTCTTATGTTAAAAAAAAAATGATCGTTACTTACCGACACGAACCGAAAAACTCTTGTCATCAATAATTTCGCCATATCAAAAGTTAAAATGATAGCACCATCCTCCCACATCTTGAACTGAAATAGTTGGGTGAGTTTCCAATACGTGAAGAAGATAAGTAGGCCACAGGCCAAGTACTCCACTATAGCTACAACTACATGACCATTTCATTTTGACCATATACCTTCCCCATATGGTCTTGCCTGGGATTTTCAGACAGCCTTTCCTTTCATATATACTTCCTGACATCCAAAGAGTAAAGACAAACGAATGTGGTGGGGAAAATTGGCGGGACATATGGGGAACCAGACCAATCTTCATATCAACATGAATGAATGAATGATACTGATTTCCCAGCAGAACCATTGAGACAGATTCTTCTCATGTTCTATTTCTATCTGTTATATATACATATTTGTTTGAGGATTCCCTCGTTGAATATACACAGTTCTTTTTCAGTTTGATTTGATGAGCATGAAAATGCTGAAAAAGGTGGAAGCAAAGCAATGTCTTTTTTGGTTCTGTCATTCAAAAACGAGAAGTCATTTCCATGACAGCTGCTTTCAACTGCCAATATAATTGCTCATAGGTAGCCCAGGCTAGCAGGTAGGGGGGCCAGTTGTGTTATATTCTATCTAGTGCAGTAGTGGACAGCAGTTTTACAACACGCGTTCATGGCTAAGCACTTCATTCATTGATGACATGCAGCTTAGTGGGAAACTAACTATTCTCAACTATATTGTATTAACTATTATTAAGTTGAAGGGTTAATGAGTCCAACTAAATTTTGTTTTATTGTGTATAAAACTTCTTGGTGTTTAGCATTTGGATCCTATATATAGATCGGTACAGGATTAGTAATTTTTCCCTAAATTTGAGGTGTGTCCCATTACAGAGTTAAATAAGGCTGGTTTCGCAGTTTGAGGAGTCAATGTACCGTGTCTATGTGTGACAATCAACCGCTCCAAGATCTTTCATTTGGAAACAAGAAGTTAGATACTCATTGATGGCGTTTATTCCCTTCGTGTTAGTCTCAATTATTAACATACCATCAACATAAAGGCATGTAATGACAACATACTCTGTCGTGCACTTTGACTAAATGTATTCATCAGTAGAGTTATGAGAAAATCCATGAGCCCGTACAACAGAATCAAATTTCCCATGTCATTGCTTAAGTGCTTGCTTTGCACCTTTTTTTCATTCCAAGCAACATGAACCCTTATGGTTGCTTCATGTACACTTTCTCATCTAGCTCACCATTTACAAATGTCGTCTTAACATCCATTTGGTGTACAAACATATTGTAAATAAAAGCCAAAGCCAAACGTACTCTTGTGGAAGTGATTCTTGCAACTGGTGCATAGGTCAAAGCAATCTACTATAACCTTTTGCCTAAACTCTTTTGCAAAGCTTTGAAAGTATGTATTGACCATCATTGTTATACTTAGTCCGAAATACCCATTTACAACCAATAACTATAGATCCTAAAGGCATATCCACAAAAATTCTTTGTCCCTTGACTTCTTCTTGGTTCAATAGCAACATGGTCATCTAAAGACCTGTTACTACTGGAACCAATGCAAAAAGGTGGGGATAGAAATAAAATCATATGGGAAATTTATAGAAGTAACTCGACATGGTTCTACATTTGAAAAATCACGTCGGAGTTTATTCTCAAAGAACTCAACATCCCTTCATTCCACTACCACATTAGATTCCAAATCTAAAACCCTATAGGTATCAAGTTTTCTGCATATTCAAGAAAAACACATTTCAAAACTCATGAACCTAACTTAGTTCTCTTAGTATTTGAGACTCTATAGAAAGGAAGTCAGCCCCAAACTCTAAAATAACCCAAATTTGGTTTCATTCCCTTCCACAACTCGTAGGAAGATTTTTTTAGCTTCTTAGACGAAATTCTATTGTGCACATGTCAGGCTAGGGATGGCAACAAAACCCGAACCCACGGGTACCACCCGACCCAACCCGGTCAACGCGGGTAAAATCCGTGTTGACGGGTTTTGGGCCGGATTTGGGTTTAAACCCTTTCACTATTCACCGGGTTGGGTTTGGGTTTAGGTAAACCCGCCCCATGGTTACCCGCCCACTCCCATATAATTAATTTTCTCGGTATATTTAATATTCTAAACAACTAATCTTATTTATGTTTGTGGAGACATGTCTAACTTTTTCTTTCTAATTGTGTAGAATAAAGTTGATGTTATCGAGTGGAGAGTGAACAAACTTAATTGAAAGGAAGAATCTTTCAATTAATCATGTTATTTATGGATAATTTGTGATTTGCTTCAATTTTCTTGAGTTTTCTAGATTGGTGATGAACAATTTGTATAGTCAATTTGTGATTTGCTAGAATTTTCTAGAATGATGTTTATATATGGATAATTTGTATTGAGAGATTGATATTTGACTTTAATTTTGATAGGAACTTGTTATTATAAATTTTTTTAACGGGGTACCAATGAACCCGCGGATACCCAGCGGGTTGGGTTGGGTTTGAGTTTTTCAAACCCAGTGGGGTTTACCCCGAGTTTTTTTCATGGATAAACCCATGGGTTTGGGTTTGGAAAAACCCGACCCATTGCCATCCCTATGTCAGGCTGTTAGCAAAGTCTCGCCCAACAAATTGATTAGAGAACTAGCATTAACCATGTACTAAAGAACTCCATTTTTTCTATATACTACTCCATTCTATTGTGGGGTGTAAGGAGCAGTCCTTTGATGTATAGAATCATGTTGCTCACAAAACTCATTAAATCTATTAGGAATATACTCTGCTCCTCCTCCTTGCCAAGGAGAAGACGCGGGTTCGATTCCCGCTATCCGCCCGAGGTAATTTCTTTCCTTTAATAGGATAAAGGATTGAGGGTAGTTGACTATAATAATATAGTGATTCTATCCCATACCCTTTTTTTTCCTGCCAGCCTACTAAATTACTGGATTACTCGTTTGAAAACCCTCATTTTTTTGTGGCTAAATTACACGTTTGGTCACTCAAATTATATAAATCTTTCACGTTTGCCACCCGAATTACTTTTCTTTCTTATTCGCCACTAACTTTACGAATCGTTTCATGTTTCGTCACCGGCCGTCTATCTCCGTTAACTCCGTTAATTTTTTGATGACGTGGCAAACAGAATTACTGACTAGACCGTTAACCTAATGACATGTTAAATTAAAAAAATTATAAATAAAAAACTAATTTACACCTCATCATCGGAAGAAAAATAATCATGCCAAAAAACTCTCCTAAGTCCTAGCTCTCTAACTTTACCAACCCAAAATTAATTCCCCAGGAAATCACAACCCTCCAACAAACCTCCCCAACCAAATTCGCCAGAAAATCCGCCATCGATCCGACTCCACCACCCAGAGCACGCGCCGCGCTACTTCTTGCCACCAGTCCTCGGAGATCTGAACTACCGCCGCCGCCGTTCTCTACATCTCTTATCGTGGCGTTCTCCGATATTGCTAGCTCTCTTTAACTGTCGTCCCGCCGTCCTCGGGAGATCTGAAATCCCCGCCGCCGTCCTTATCGTTCGTCTGAATCGCAGCAATTTCTAATAGTCGCCGCCACCGTTCTTCTACGATTTTCCTTGTGATTGAGAAGTCCAATCTGGATGGATGAACAATCACCACCGCCAGATCTAATATGATCCATTAATTCGTTACATGTGAGTTCGAAGTACTTTCATTCAGAGACTTATAGAGGAGAGCTAATTGCTCGGCTGGAGTCGTCGATGGCGCGATTGGAAACGTTGTGTTGGAGCTGAGGTGAGAGGATGACCCATGGGCGACAAAGAGTGGGGAAAGTCAGAGCCAACAGTACTACCCTTGGTGCCCATTTTTCCTGAAACAGGATGCCGAAGATGGCTTCTTTATGGAAGGGGAAACAGGACAACCGAAGCTCATGATGTCGACGGAGTCGGCGCTGCCGCTGCGGGAGGAATCGTCGGTCGAGAGAGCGGATAGCCCGCGGAGGAGGCACGGTCGGTGCGTGAGAAGAGATGAGGTGTAAATTATTTTTTAATTTTATAATTTGACATGTCATTAGGTTAACAGTCTAGTCAGCCGTTCCGTTTGCCACATCATCAAAAAAACTGACGGAGGTAACGGAGATAGACGGTCGGTGACCAAACGTGAAACGATTCGTAAAGTTAGTGGCAAATGAGAAAGAAAAGTAATTCGGGTGGCAAATATGAAAGATTTATATAATTTGAGTGACCAAACGTGTAATTTAGTCTTTTTTGTAATTGTAAATGTAAAAAAAATGTTGCGGAGACTTCAAATCCCCACATCAGGGCTACCTTTCTGTCGAAGGACTTGTATTTTCCTACCTTTTTTAGTTTTGGCAACTTATTTATACAACTTAAACTTATCAAAGTCCTAATGCTTAGTTCGCATTAAATAGAAATAGGTAAATTGAGTACTATCATCAATGAAAGTAATGAAGGACCTACATCCTTCTCTAGTTAATTACCCTAAAATTCACAAATATCATAATGTACCAATTCTAATAAATCTAAATCTCTGTCAACCAACTT